TAAATACAAGATCATGTTTAGATATATGGGCAGAATAGGACATTAGCTGTCTTCATTTGATTTTAATTTTTTTGCACGGATGTTTCTCTTGAATAAATTCTTTTAGCGTAGACATATGTAAAAAATCAAAAACATTGACGGTAGACTTTTGAGTTCGAGTAACATCTATGGTAAAATTATTCTTATAGAAACCGCCCCCTCAGAAAATCCATCAAGTCCCATGACAAAAATGTTTGTCTTATCATTATCTCAAGGTGCCGAGGAAGGATTCATATCTTTTCAAATTCTTCTCATATTTCCCATTCAGTTACAAGAGCAGTTTTTCTTCTGAATACTCGTACTCCATCACGTCGCCAACAAACGATTTTACCTAGAAGAAAAATCTATCAAATTTATTTTTTTTCAATTAGGACTATAGAAATTCAGAGAACTATTATGAATAAACGAGAATGAGAGAAGAGTATAAGCCATATTGTCTTCAGATCCGAAAAAAATTTTTATGTATGATTTAAATATTCTCATATATATATTTTTCAATATTATAATGATTGGTTTATTATTTATTAAGATAAAATTTAAGGATTACAAGGATCACTCTATATAGTTAATATTGATTGTCACTTTTGATACATAATGTATTACCATTGTTTAACCTATAAATTCTCTTGGATCACCTCTGAAGATTGCTTTTTTCTGAAGTCGTCCAAATGTTATTAAATCATCATTGGATTTATCTTCATAAACTTCTAAAGGTTGAAATTCAGTTGTTAATATTTTCGAATCACCATGTCGATAAGCATGATTTACATCATTATTTGAATAAAACATATTTTTATTTTGTTCATTATCGGTTGATCGATAAATATATTTTGCACTAGAATAATTTATACAAAATAAAAACAAAAAACATTTTACTAAAATAAAACTCACTTGATGAGAATAACATTGAATGCTAACAAACATAAACTATAGTAATAAATTTGCATGATACTGATCTTCAAGTGTTCTATGTGACAAGTGAAGATATACAAAAAAAATGCAAAATCTGTTTGAATCTTTTTCTTTATAAATACTTTGGATGTAAATCTCTGCACGAAATATTACGTGTCAAACAAATATCAATAAGAAAAACGATTATATAAACAATAACGTTGGCTTCAAGCGATGCTAAAAACTGTCTAAATACGTTTTCATTCAATGAACAAGAAGATTAATATGATAATCACATATTACAATGCACGACATCATGCCGATTTAATTCAGTTAATATTCACATATTGTTATATGATGTTCAATATCATTTTTGTTTTATTTTGTTACAATCAATTTTATTCTAAGTTACATCATATTTTATTTCATATATATTCAATCTTGAGAGTATCAATGAACTACGTTTATTAATGGGTATAAAAACATAAAATTTCTCGTGGATTATTACTACTTTCAATCGCCATAGCTAATTTCATACACATAAATGCTATTGTACATAATTTTTCTCAGAAAAAAAACATTCAGATGAATAGCAAGGAGATAAAACAAGTTGGAAATATTGTAAAGTGACTCAAAGTTAATAAAAACTAGGAAGATGTTCTTGAAAATAATATATAAGAAAGCAAACAATTAAGAGACGTTTTTCGGCGAAATAATATACTAAAATCTTTCCAAGTGTAGTCTGTTTAATAAGAAAGAGAATATTTCATATCTACACCTTTAGTTTCTATTCTGTTATTTCTTTATTTATCATCTATCTTACTGCATACGTATTCACTACCATATTTTTATCTTTATCATCTTACTCAAAAAGGTAACACTGTAAGATAAAATGGAACGTTTGCATCTTAAATATTTGCATATCACGTTCAAATTTAATTTTACAGAACGAACTTATGTATATGATCTGACACAATATACTAAACGACAACATCTTTTTGATACGATTTGTAAAGATGCTGAATGTTTTGTTCATCGAGTATGTGGACGAACATCAGTAAAAACTATGGACCGATATAGTTTATTACTTTATCGTCTAGACGAACATACTCCTTATTTACATTTGATAACTGATTATTATGGATTAGAAAATGAATGTATTATTCAAATTGTTCCTATTGAATGTGCAAAAAGTGAACGAACTATTGAACCGATATCTTCTCATATAACTCCTCAACCATGTAGTAAATGTCAAAAATTCATTGCAGGTGAAATGCTTGATAATGCACATTGGTGTAAAAAATGTCGAAATGTCTATCATCAAAGTTGTGCACCTACTTTTTCTCATCAATGTAATCAAAATGATTTACAACGACCACCTCCTATTCCACTTCGAAATAGAAGAATAACTCGACATAGTATTAAAAATCCTTCTGGTACAACTGTTCAAGATGAACAAATTGATAATGCTAATTTACTTTATTTTATTAATTATGAAAATATTTATCGACGTGGTCATTTTATAGTTACACGATCAGAATTAATTCTTCATACACATGCTGCTGTTATTAGATTTGATGAAATTAAATTAGTTCGATTTGTTTATGATAAACCAGAGTCACATACATTTGAAATAATTTGTTATAATGGTACAATTATTTGTATAGGACATGGTCATCAATCATCACCTATGACAGATGAAATTCGTTTAATAACTGATCAATTTTGTTCACATGTTCATTTACAATGGGAATCGCTTAAAACATCTTCTAGGAAATCATTCGGATCAACTAAATCTGATAAAATGATATCTGAATATAAACGAAAATTAGTTCCAATTGGCTATCAATATGGACCTGAAGATGAATCCAATGATCATATGCAAGAATTATATGAATTTACATATGAAATTATTGGTCAAGGTAGTTTCGGTACTGTGGAAGCTGCTATTCGTCGATCGACACGTCAGCCAGTTGCTGTTAAGCGAATCGATTATACAAAATGGCAAGAACAAGGAAGGACTTCAAATGAAATTGATATATTATATCAACTTAAACATCCAAGTATTCTTACATTTCAATCATGTTTTTCTCGTCATGATGGTGTATATATATTTACTGAACGAATGGAATTTGATCTATTTGATTATATAACAAAACCACCAAATTTAGGTCGATTGAGAGAATCAACTTCAAAATATATTATTTATCAAATTCTTGTTGCTGTCAGTTATTTACATCAAAAAAATATTGTAAGTTAAAATATTCATTTTTTTATTTTAATACTAATAAATTTTATATTTAAGTGTCATTGTGATATAAAACCAGAAAATCTTCTACTTAATGTATTACATACATCTACAGCGTACAAACGTGAACATGTTAAATTAGCCGATTTTGGAATGTCAAAATATATTCGTGATACTTCACTACGTCGTAGTCAAGTTGGAACAGTAAATAAATAGATAATTTAAATATTTAAAAGTTATTTCTTTTTTTCCTATTAACAAAAATAGAGACCATATATGGCACCAGAATTATATCATTCATATGAACGAGGATATAATAAATCTGCAGATTTATGGGCAGTTGGTATTGTTCTTTATGCTTGTTTATCAGGATGTATTCCATTTGATCCAAATGAAATTGATAAAGCTGAACATTTAGTTAATAATTTTGTATCTATGTATCCATATAAAGAATGGAAACATATTTCAGACAATGCAATTTCATTTCTTTCAAAAAATTTACTTGTTGCTGATCCAACACAGCGAACAAAAGCGGAGAAGAATCTTACTAATAAATGGTTTACTGATGATCGACAATTACGAAATAATCTAAGAGAATTAGAAATAATGATAAAAATGGATAATGAACCATATTGGTTAACTAAATATTTACCATAATTAAAATAAATTTCTCTCTTATTAATCATGATAATAACGAGTAACACAATCTGCTTAGAAAATTTTTATATATAAATGTATGAAATTAAGAAATAAAAACATTTTTTATTTTTATTTTTGATACTTAATAAAATGAATTAAATAATTTGTTAATGATATTGATTCGGTTTAAATACTCTACTACAAAACATCTGTGATAGTGTTTTCTGGAAGAAATTGAATGAATAGACTTCCTTAATATCAACAACATCAATTGAAATATACGCCAATGCCGCAAAATCTAGAAAAATTTACTGATGTGGATGAAGCAAAATCAAGCCAACATTTCGCTATTCAATTCTCGGTATGACTTTGATCAATCGTGCCATTACTATTAAAGTAAATTAGCTGATAGTGCGTATGGGTGTCGGTGTTCCTCGTTGATCTAAAGAGAACACCCAGACCCACATTCATCTTCTCTCGTTTGATACTTTATCATCTTTTTCTTTTCCGTGATATAAAAATAAATCTACTTATCGAAAATTTTCGACTTTCTATAGTATTTTGTAAAATTTATATTTTTCTAAATTTTTTCTTTCTAGATTTTGCAACATATTCAAATATACGAGTACTAAGTAAGATTTCATGTATTAAACACATTCCAAACTTCAATCTACATGATCGTTTTTGATGCTTTCAAGAATATTCGTTGATATCTAAATTTGTCTTGTTAAAAATCTTACAGTCCAGATTTAATTCATATCGATTTCAATCCTAATCTCTATTTACTATGTATCATGATACCTCCGTACCAATATTATGAATCAATCCCTAATAATTGATGTTTTTAATTTTCTCTTTCTTAAACATATATTTTCTTATTATATTTCATTAGAAATCATTTGAATTTCTAACAGCACCCTCTTTATTCACGTATATTTTTGAACGAAAGAAAAGAAAAACAACAACAACAAACAATTAATAAAGCATTTTATCGACAACTATTTATAAACGAAATAGACTAAATTAATACATGCATGTGGGATTTTAAATTTCACATAAACAGACACAAAAGATATAAAAGACCAATAAATGTGTGGACGCAAATAATGACGCTGAGCGAAAATTGGAAGAAAAATGCATAACAAAAAAAATGAATGTATACATCACAGAACTAGTTTGTTTATCAAATAGAATTATTCATATTTCCATTTGGTTCATAAACGAGATTCTGTATTTCTGTACCAGCAACTGGTAGTTGAATTACATCAGGATTTTCTGTTGGTACTGGTTGTCTATCGTTTTTATTTTTCTTCAAAACTGTTTCAATTATATAATACCATGATGGAAGTATAAAATTAATTAATATAAAACAAATTATTGATTGATATATAAGTGATTGACGTATAACATGATATATATATGTTTCAATTGAAAATAAAGAAAATATACATAATGATATGAGTAATGATAAAATAACACGATTATATTTCCATTTTGATTTTGTTATATTGAATGATGCATGTATTAATGTATCAAGAAATATAACAGGTATAACAAATAACCAAAGTGAATTTGCAAAATTAAATGTTAAATTATGAAATAAATATAGACAAGCTAAACTTCCAGTTAGAAGAGCAAGTAAATTTGTGAATATCAAAAGAGCTTTTCCAAATGAAAGAAAAATCACGAATGTTATTAAAAATGTTGTTGTAACGGTAAAAATTGTTAATAAATATACTTCACGACGTATTTGTGCTAAAGATTCATAATGTAAAAATATGAAACTATAAGGAAATATTGATGGTAATGAGCTTTGTTCTGCATAAGTGTACATATTATACATTGCTTGTAAATCATTACGATCACCTAAGAAAATAAGAAAAATTTATTAAATAAAGAAAATACATTAGTTTGCTCAATAACTATAAGCTGTATAAATTACGTCAAAAACCAATCTAAAAGCTCATAACTCTTGAATGGAAAGTCATAGCGAAGTATGGTTTTCACCGTTCAGTAGAGAACAGTCTGGAGGCACATGCCTATGCATGAGAAATGTTTTCTCAAAGTACCATCCATAGCTAGTTTTAAAAAGGATTTTTCATAAAAACTGATTTTTAATTTATTTCGCTATTTTTGTAGCTCGCACTAATCTCCGAAATTCTGAAAAAACCTCCGGGATCATGAACCTACTGAAATAATTCCAACAAATACCTTTCTGAGGATTTATCTACTAAAATTAATTTGAAAAGATACTTTACGGAAATAGTTCATGCATTAGGTATGTGCCTACGACTACCCTCCATTGAATGATGAAACCAGCAGATCGTTATACCTTTCTCTTCAAAAGTTGTAAGCTATTCTTTAAAAATTCCTATAGTAGTATATATATTGATAGTATTTCTACTGAAGCTATGCATGTCTATGTACAACGTATGCTTAATATTTGAAGATTCAATTCAACGGGTTCTAATCATAAAAATGATTATGGGTGTGCTTTCTCACTTAAAACAAAATAAAATAATTTGTAAATTGTTTACCTTTTGTTGATCTGTATTGACAGAAGAATCGTGACGCTTTGATAACTGATTTGTTTTTTTTATCTGATATAACAAGATCATTTTGTGAATATGGTGTTAATCGAACACTAAGTGGATTTCTACTAGTTAAAACATCATGTAAATCTTCTTGTTCTAACCACACTAATTTAAATTTATTATTCATTGCTGTTTCATTCAAACATTGTGCTACAAGATTATGAATTAATAACTGATTTTTTTTGTTCTCATAATTCATTGGTTTAGGTATAACAAACATAATTACAGGGCCAATATCATAGTTTTCAAAATGTGCTCTCATATATGATTTTAATGATGAAGCATTTTTTGGAAGAAATTTATCTTCATATAAACGTGTATCAATTGAAGATATTAACCAAATACTACATATAATAAATATCACTGATAATAAACATAAAAATCCAGTAAAAATTTTTTTAAAAATTGGATCAACATTTGTTAAAGTTGTTACTTGTTTATTCAATGTTTTACTTAATGATTTTCGACGATCTTTTATATAATAATCATTTGGTAATTGATGACAGAATAAACAATGACGACGAGATTTAATACGTTTTAATGTTATAACAAGACATGATGCAAAAAATGTACAATGAGTTATATATTCTATAAATATATATAATACTATTGTTAAACCAAGATATCGTGTACATGACATTGGAGATATAATCGACATAATTGCATAAGTTATCATGATAATTAATGTTGATGATAAAAAATATGGACGAGTAGATTTAATAATTGATGGAAGAATTTTTTCAATATCAATTTTAGTTGAAGCATTTATCGAAGATACTGGTAAATATTCTTTTATTATTTGATGATATTCACCACAAACAATTGATATACGCATTGATTCAATAACTACAAAAAATATTTAATAGATATGAATTTTTTTAAACAGATTTGAGATTAAAACACCTTAGTCATTTATATATTTAGTCGTAAAAGAAGAATCGATAAAAATTCTACAATAATTATCGATTATTATAATAAAAAAATCAACAATTTCTGTTCGATAGACTATTAAATTAAGCAGATACAGCTAACCGTCAGAATTTGTTTTTTTTATTGATTGGGGTACAAGAATCTCGTGATATTCTGCAAATTCTTCTCAATTATCTATTTACGAATAATACCATCCGGTTTATGTCTAATACAAGAAAAATACATTATGTATTATTCTACAATTATTAAGAAACTAATTTTTGAATAGAAAGAACTGTGTGTGGAGAAAACTATCATCTTCATATTCGTACAATCGATAAAATGAAAAGAGAATTAGTTAGATATTATTTTTAAGCTTACTTGCAACTACAAAAATAATAAGTGCCATTGGTTCAATAATTTGAATTTTAAAAACTGACAATAAACCAAATGTAGCACCAGTTGCAAGAGCCAAATTAAGAACTCCACATATAGACAAATATCCTACAGATGTATGAAAATTTCCTTGAATACTTATAAAAAAACCAACAAAAATAAAAAATATTAAGAGCATTATAGCCATAAATGGTCCTTCATCACGTGCTTGTTTACCAACAGTATCTGTAATAGCTGTTGATGTTGATGGTGAAATCTCAATTAAATTTGATTGATATTTTTCATTTAAATAATGTAACACTTCTCGTTCCCATTGCGTAGATAAATGACGCATATGATCATTTGATATATTAAGTGAATATCGAATACGAAATATTGGAACATAGGAAATAGTTTTTTCAGAGGATGTGTGTTTTACTACTGGTAAATCTTCTGGTTCGCCTTTTTCTTCTTCTTCGTCTTCTTCTTCATCATAATCTACTTCAGGTACAGTTGCATTAATAATTTTATAATCTTTACCGAAAATAAATGATGCTAAACCATTAGCACCTGTTAATGAATCAAAATAAATGCCACTTTCAACATATCGTAAATTTAAAGCATCTTTATGAAATTTATCTGATAATAAATAATTTCCATCAATCATACAAGCACGATTTATTATTGCACATAAAGAAGTATAATTATATTGTTTGGAATTATTTACATCATTTATTTGAATTGAATGAATAAGTTTGTCTAATGAACGAATCTAAATATATAAATAGAAGTTCTTGTAAAAAAACTATATTAGTTATTAAATTATTCAAATACTTATGATTATTACAAACCCGTTGAGATTGAATAAGGATTCAAATGGAAAATTTCGGAATTAATTGAATCGATAAAAAAGCAGTTGAAATACTTTTTTTAATCAACTATATTTGGTTAAGATATCAAATTTATTTCTTCCGATAAGAAATGTACTAACAAGAATTGACTCGTTTCATTCTATTATCTCTACTAACTTCTCTCATACAGTTGATTACATCAACGCCTCTAATATTTTCAACCTTCAATAGAAACTATCCAATCAACGGAATTATCCGGTTTTCGATGCAGATAAATGAGGACAAAAAAATCTTGTATTTTCTAAAGAACAATCAAATCCATATAAAAATATGAAAACTAATGCTTCTAATCCAGATCCAAATATTTTGACATTCGTCTCAATGGATGTATGTTATAGGAATAAAGAATTTAATAACTAAGTGCAAATATTCAACATTACTTTTGTTTTTCTGCGTATTTTACAATGAAAATTTTGTAGAAAGAAAACAAGGTTTAATTTTTCAAAAAAAAAACACCCACACCCTCAAGATAAAAATTAGTAAATCTAATATATACAAAAAAACAGTCTGAGCAAAATATATTTTTCCTATATGACCTCGAGAAGTATTTTTTTTATCATCAAAAATATTTTATGCATGAAAATATTCTGCTCTAGATAAGTGGAATATGTTACAAAACAAAATTAATAAAAATTCTAATCATCAAACCATTTTCATACACATTTTTGATAAAACATCAAGTTCATACTAATCTTTAGTTTTATCAAATGATATCTATTCTAATTATAACTTCTATCTCTGCATAGTCTAGTAACGTGTTCTTTTATCGAATATGATGAATAGCCAGTATATAAATAAATGTGTCATTGAAAATGTTTCTCAACATAAGCTAACAGTTAAACTTCATTAATACTCAATATAGAATTATTTAGCAAAAAAAACATTAATAATCTGATTAGAATATCAATAAGTATTTTTCTATTGAAATGTTCATAGTGCTAGACATATAAAAAATTCTTGTCATACCTCTTCAATAATTTGATTATTTAACATATTAGTTTCATTGATATTTTCATGATTGATTTTTCTTTTTATAATAACATCTAATGCTGGATAAAGATCCATTTGTTGATGTGTACGAACATCTTTATCACTTCCAAAAATTTTATTAATTAATTGAGCATTTTTTGATGCTCGACCATTTCGAACAATAAAATCTGTTTGATCAAATTGACGTATTTGAATAAGACATAATAAACATATTGTAAGTCCAACAGTAATAATTAAACTTAATATTAATATAATCCAAGAAAAACGTATTAAAAATTTGGAATAATTATCCCAAAATTTATTCGTTTTTTCTTGTACTGAAATGATACCCATTTGGAATAGATTATAATCTTGATTAATATTAGATACTGGTATATTATTTTCGTTACTTCTAATCTATTCAATAATAATAATAATATGAAAAAGAAAAAAAGAAATGAATGAATTAATAACATTCTTACCATCTGTATTTCACTCATCTTTATGTATTTGTTTTTTCAAAAAACTGATACACACGTGGTGGAATGTGTAGGAGGAATAAGAAGAAAAAAATATTATATATATGAGAGATGAAACACTCTATCTCCTATTTTCTTTTTGAAACGTCATTAGGAACATATCAAGCAAGATAAGATTCCGGGTGTATACCTTCACATAAACACTTCAATATGACACGTAACAACAAAAGTCGCGCGACAAAATGAAAATAAAGAACACTTATTTCATTAATCGTGTATTAAATGAACACTTTTTTTTTCTTCTTGTGAAGTGTTTCAGATAGTTTGTTTATAGATATATTTCTTTTTTTTTTCAACTATGATATCTATTCTCTAGTAGAAGAGTCCAGAAGAAAAGAGATAACGTTGTGTACTAATGATGAAGTGTACTACATAGACAAATTCTAGAAGTGCATCAATAAGAAAAAAAAGAAAAATATAGATTCTTCACACATGTTGCCTTATTCTCATTAATATTTTTTCTCGATCTAATTGTAAAAGAAAAATCTTCGAATGACAAATCGAAAGATGTGAAATACAGCGGACCGCGCGCGTATACCTATCAAAACGACGCGATAAAGAACAGAAAAAAGCGAAAAAAAATCTTAGCAATAATAATATCGTAACAAAATGAAGAGGAAACATCACGCCATACTCAGACGATGCCTTTTCTTGACATAGAGAATAAAGAAAAACGTAATTCTACTAAATAATCCAAGGACATATGATCGCATCAAATATTATTCATACTAACTGTTAATTAAATGGTATCGTATGATTATCATTCGAATATATGACTGTATTTCCTTTTCAATGCGGTCACAAGGTCATTCTGTATACATGTTTTTTTTTATTTCGAGGAACAAAAGGAAGGGAAAAAATATTAACCAATAGATCATCACTAACAAAATAAGACGTCGTTTGCTTTGATATCGTACTATTTATTTGACCTTGAGTATGTTTTATCTACTTTTTTACTTGTTTGTTCTGACTTTTCTCAAAAAAAAAATCTATATATAGACAAAGTAAATGATTTAAGTATCCTATATTCTAGGTACTGGATGAGTATAAAGTTACTTACAAGTTAAAAAAAATTGGTTTGATATCAAATGAAATTTTTTTCTATTAAAACTATGGACGTCGCTCGTCAATACGTTTTTGTACTGTTTAGATTTAATAAATGATTCTCATGAAAAACAAATATTTAACATTCTATTTTTCAATCTGGATTTTTTTTAAGGAATGATTGATTACATTCTTCATACAATTACGAACTTAAAAGATTGGAAAAAAATGTTTGATATACACTAAATTACCTATATGAAGATAGAACTGAGATATTTAACAAAGATAAATAATATGATAAGAGTAAAATTTTCGGATAATTTCATACGTAATAAGAGTCTAAATAGACGAGAACATATTTAAATATCAATTATATTATGATGAGAATAACAATAGAATTAATCGATGACATTCAGATGGATATATGTTTTGTAGTGGATAAATCAAATTGATTTCCATCAGTTATATAATAGGAAATGATAAATGATAGATTTTCTTTATCCTAAGACTGACTTAGATGACGAGGAAAACGTGTGTTTTGATAAGAACTGAACTAGATCTGTTTTTTCTATTTATTTGAACTAAGTTGTTTTTAAAAAACGAAAAAATAAATGTAAAAAGAAAGAAAAAAAAATGATCTAAGCATTCGGGATTGGTGTGCCAGGTGTAGGAATACCAACAGTTCCAAAAGCAGCACGATTGAAAAAGCCAGAACCTCGTTTTAATTGTTCCTAAAAAAAAGAATTCATCTTTAGAAGTTTTCCGATAAAATAAAATTACATACACTTCTGCCTAATTTATTATATGCATCTTGCCAATTAGCATAGATAGGTGTTATAGGTACCATACCAGCTCGAAGACCACTTCGATTTATTGCTGTTACTGTTGTTACAACACTTAATGGATAAGTAACAGTTTGAGCAACAAACTAAAAAGAAAAACAAGTATTTCATATTCTATTTTTAACTAATAATAAATTATTTATATAAAGATGAACATAGTATATGATGTATATTCAACAAAGACATTATCAATCATGTGTGTAAGTCATTCATAAAATGACATTAGCCATGTACTTTTTTTCAAATTTATTATTCAAAGTTCATATCGTCTATTATGATTGATAGTTTTGTCTCATACGACTGTCTTTTATACGGATTGTATATACATAAATGACGATACTCGATATATTCGATAGAAGATCCAGTTACATCTTTCAGTTGTAAATATCATGAAAAGCATTCAAGAAAGCCAAAGCATAATTTAGTATGTAACATAGAAAATATGCTTTTATACTATCACTTCTAGATAAAAGTCTGGCTATTTGTCTATCTAAATGTTTTGAATATTAAGAAAGCAATCAAAGACTCTTGTTGGCATTACAGAAGAATATTTCCAGTAAAAATCGAAGACTGTTCTGAAATAAATCCTACTATTTATATCTAACATTATACTATTCTTTCATTTAATAAAATACTTACAGCAGCCATATATTCATACATTGGCACCATTTCAGTTTGTGATGGTAATTGTGTTTTAAGCATATGAATAAGAACATTTGATATAACAATTGTTGCTATTTCCAATAACCACCGAGGAATAAGTCCACTAATATATTCAAAATAAATACATCAAAAATAATTATACAAACAAAACAAATTTACATACACAAAAAATCCGCCAATTCCTTGTCGATCATAAATTTCTTGAAAATTTTGAAAAATATTAATTGATGAATAAGCTTTTTCACGACCAATAAATTGTCCCATACATCTTATTGCCATAACTATAGAATAAGAAAAATAAAATTCATCGTGTTTTTTTTCATTCATAATCAAACCTTGAAATGGATGTGAAATTAATATTCCCCATGATTGACATCGTACTTCTCTAACAGTTTTCTTTATACATTTATCCCATGTTACTTTTGTTTGATCATTTGGTACGACAGGTTCAACTGGACCAAGAAGCTTAAAAGAATAGAATTTATGTTAATTGTTTAAATTTCTTCTTCTATCTTACTTGATCAACTTTTGTTGTTGTATACCAACAAACCATTTTAGATAAAAGTGAACAACCAAATCCACGATATAAACCCGTAAAACCATCAATATTATAAATATATTTTACTAAAATCAAACAAAAATTCTTAATTGATTTTCCTTTTTTTTATAAAATATTAAAATAAACTAACAATAACGGAAAACATTTGGATAAAATATAGCTTCTTTTCCAAATAAAGTTTTTCCTCGAGCTGCAGGTAATGGTTCATAACCCATCTAAAAGATATGAATAAAAATATTTTATTCAAATTCTATGTAGACATATATATATATTACCTGCATTAATGCACGTGCATATGCCATTGGATGTCCTAAAGCTTGTTGAAGTGCTGTTGCTTTTAATACAGCAAATGTTGGATTTGCTGAATTAAATGTTGAAGTAAATCCACCCGTTGGTTGTTGTTGAACAGGTGTTCCAGCTGGTAATGGCGTTTGAATTGGTGCAATAAGACGTTCAGCTGATTGTAATAATGATGATGGGGTTGATACATTATCATCAGTTTGAATCTCATCATTTTGTAATGATGGATCCTAAAATTAAAAGAAAGAAATTTAATTTAGAAAAATAAAATGATATTCAAAGAAATTATATACAGTGGATCTAATAGTAGATACGGGTGGTGGTGTAGCCATAACTCGATTTAAAGACAATTTATAATGAAGAAAATCCGATGGAATAAAATTTTTACTTATTTATTGATTGGTAGATTTATTGTTCTTCTATTCTATTTAGTTGAAAAAATTCGAAAGAAAAGAATTTTTAAAAACATATTTAAAAAACATTTACAATGAATTATTATATTTTAATGTAAAATACCGTATAGAAATAAATTATTTCACTCATTAGCGCCATCTGTAGTGCAGACTATTTTCTTGTTGAAATTGCTACAAAAGTCGAAACAGACTTTGACAATGTTCTGGATTTCTGACTGTGACTTTAATTGAGTACTTAATAATCGAAAATTCTCTGTAAACATCTGTTGAAGTAAATCTATCTTCAACAATGTCAATATGTAGCTTCGGAAAAACTAGATCAGAAATTATTCTAATGAATGTTCGTAATGTAGTCATACGAGAGAATCTACTATACGAAAACAACATGTCATGATCATTTGTTTTGGAGATTCTTAAATATGTTTTTCATATTTATTTCTAATGAAATATGTTAAATCAAAGATTATATGTAAATCATAGTACTACTGTTATGAAAGCATAACCTTTAGTTTATATTAGTTCTACAAAATTCATATTTATTTTCTTTGTAGATTATCTTACAAACATATCAGATGTACTAGGCAACATTCTTGATTTCAGTTTCTTGTTCGATCAGTCATTTGCATTGGTTTTGAGTTCTGCGATCGTTAGATTATTCTATGTCAAGCAGACCCAAAATATTTTCCCAAAGTTTCGAGATATATGCTTATATCATGTAAGTATTTGTGTACATGTATATGACCATCGATGCTTTATTTATTTATATCTTCATACTAATAGTTTCGAGCTGTGTTTGCATTTAACTAAATAAACAAAAAATTTATTCTACTTTGATAAATTCATAAGAAATAATTGTACATTTTAGATATGAAAAGTAAATTTGTTGAGTCATTAGTCAGATAGAATCATAGTTGATTTTGAAAATGTTTTTGCAAATAACGATCAAGTATAAGTGATGAATATGTACGAAACAAATTATATTAATCATATTATT